TCCACCCATTGTTTATCTAGATCAAAGGCAATTTTATCAATATTGCTAATAGCATCAGCACCACTACCATCCTTTTTCCCCAAAAGAGTCTCCTTGTGGAAGACTCCATCGCTTCATCTCTCCCTGCCTTAAATTTTTTGTGCATCGTTCGAGATGATCGATTTCCTCTAAAGACAGGTTTTTCTGTTGATAGAAAACCTTTTTCGTAATACAAAATAATAATGGTAAAACAAACTATTTCGTAATATAAAATTCTTTGTTTTTCTTCATTTAACTGACCAAGTTTTATCTAGGCTAACCATTGCTTTCACAAATAAGAAGAAATTTTGCTGAATTTGAAACTTGAAATTTGAGTGATCCAAATTTTAAACATTTCAAATCTTAATAATTTAATACTTGTCATGCCATAGTCACGCTTTTATCACTTAGTTAACAAAAAATAAATAAAACTTCAGATAAATAAAAATAAATATAGGAGTACTTGAATTATAATGAAATTGTAAATTTAATATTTGAGAAAAAAAATTCTCAATTAGATATTCAAATTATAAATCTATACATCAATTCGTACTTTGACAAACAGAGTTGATCAAAATGTGTGATATGGCTAAATATAATCAATAAGCATATGTAATGTTTCTAAAAAAAATTACTAGATTTCTTATTTTTTAAGTTTTTTTTTTAATTTTTTTATTTCTTGAAATTTGAAAAAGTAAAAAAGTAAAATTATAAAATTATAAAATTTTACCAAAAGAATTCAAAAAAATGAAAAATCAATGGAGGAGACATAAAAAGGGCATTGAGGAGAAAGAGAAAACGGAAGATAAAGAAAGAAGCGAAAGGGCGGATTGACGCTGGCCTTGGCATATTAGTGTTGGTTTTTTCACCATTAAACTGCTTACCTTTAATCGAAGTTACTACCTGCAAATAGTCGATTTCAACTTGTGTCACATACACTTCTTCTCTGCAGCAAGCCAGAAGAGACCACAATAATGTTCGTAGCTCAACCACCAGGGCATGCAAATTGTATGCAATTATCACCCCACCCGCCAGCCGCAGTTCCCTGTTAGAATTTCTAACTATGAAACCCGCCCCTACCCATGTTTCACCATTTAAAGCAAAAATCGATGCATGCATCATACTTAAGCTTAATCCTAGTTGGAAACCTCCATCATCTTCCTTCAGATACATCGTCCATCCGAGTCAACCTTGGTACAGCAACAGCAACGTGGAACTGTGAGCACATGTCATATCTAGTTCAACCACCTCTGTCGGTCCCCTTTTCCCTCATTCTTAAAGACGACTGCATTTCGTCCTCTCCGAAGAGCCCATATAACACAACAAATCTCCTCTACCACATCTTCTCCGACATTTTGAAGCAGCATCTTGATCCAATCACCTGTAGAGGAAAATTTTTGTGAAATTTCTCTAAAGCCCCACTTAGAGGGAAGTCATACTGCTCTAGCAAACGGACATTCGCATAAAATATGAAATTCTGTTTCCATCTCCGCATCACAAAACGAACAACCTGTAGCAACATTAACTCTCCTCCTAATCAAAGCAGCTCTTGTAGGCAGACAACCATTCAGCACCCTCCATATAAATAGAAGAATTTTCCTCGGCAAATTCAGACCCCAAAAATTTCCTCCACATCGATGTTGCATTACCAGATGAACTAGGCTAATGCGCTCTCCCCATTACTGAACATAACAGACGGTAGCCCAATCTAACTATATAGTCGCCATCCTTGCTATTGTTCTACACTAATCGATCCTACGGCCTCCTTAGACTCAACGACAATGATAAAATAAGATTGCTTTCATATGGCAGAAAGCACTCCCTTATTTTTCCTTCATCCCACATCCTCTGATCAGCCAAAATAAAAATAACATGGTTATTTTGGACACAGAGATCTGGTATTTTTTGGACTTGTCACTAATAGAGTTAATGAAAACACAAATCGATAAAATGAAAGTTGGAAGTACCTAATTATGATTTTTCTTTCTTTCAGATGCCAAATCTTTAGTTTCACTATGATTTGGGTATCAAATATTTAATCGATCCAAATAAAAAGGAAAACTATTTAGGAAGCCTCGTTGATGACCAAACAAGCAATCGATTTTGGGTTCATTAATATGCTATCTGTCATTTTAATTTAATTTGATTTACAAAACACCAACAAGAATCTTTTTCATCTTGATTCTTTCATCATGTTTTAAATAATCCAATTCAAGCACTAGATGATGGATATGTTATTGTTGAAGTGTTAAATGACTAGATAGGAACCAATTTATTGATTAGTGCATATATAACTTGTGCAATGACGATGAACTTAAAAAGTTTTCTTATTGGATTAATATTAATGTTAATATAGATTTATAAGTAAAAGTTGTTTTATATATTTTCTCATAATAACTAAATTTTAGCAAAGCCCTATATTTTTTTCCCACAAATCATGGAAAAAATTATTAATTGTATTATATATAATTTATTTTTACTTTATTTAACAAGCAATTTAAATATGTATATATGTTGCTTTTACTTGCTCGATATGGGCTGACCCCAATCGTTGATGACATTGAATGCCTCTTTCTTACCAGACCTTACGGGCTTTAGAATAGATGGGTAACTTTTAAAAGAAAAATGCTGAATGTTAAAGGTTAGAATATTGGGTAATTGTTTATGTCTAACAGAAGAAGCTAAGAAATATAATTGAGTGTAATGCAGGTTAATCGAAGAGCATTGAGCACGGCAAACTGAAAAACATGACATACTACTAATATTTACAACATATATATTAATGGAAGCAAATGTTCAGAGAGAGGCCATTTGAATGAATAATATATAAAACTGGCATGGCATGATCAAGACCATGTAGCTCTTACAACAAACTTCGATTTGTTTGGATTCAGCTATCAACATATTTGTCAATGGTAGCAGCCAAGGTAGACTTGGGCACTGCACCGATGACGCTCTCTTTCTTCTCCCCATCCTTAAAAAAGAGCATGGTTGGGATACTCCTAATCCCGAACTGTGTGGCGATGTTTGGGCTGTCATCAGTGTTGAGCTTGTAACAAGCAATCTTCCCAGCATACTCTTTTGCCAATTCACCGATAACTGGCTCAATCATGCGGCAGGGTCCGCACCATGGTGCCCAAAACTCCACTAAAACTGGAGTTTCACTTCCAATGACAAGCTCACCCCAGCTTGATTCTGTCACCACTGCAACTGCAGGGTGCAGAATATGAATTGGATTTTAGCAATAATTACTACCAAAAAATATCATGCCACATTAATGCTTCTTAACGCTAAAATTAGTAGGATTGTTGACAATTAAAAACAGGACCAGAATTTTTCTGGGTTGGGGGTGTTTCCATGGCTAGGCTATGTAATGAAATTATGAGAGTAATGTTCCTCTGTCCCTTAACCCCTCACCCTAATAATCCCTAACAATTATGAGATTCAGGTCCTTAATACAAATAACCAAATTGCTTTATCAACTACACTTGCTGGCCTGTCATTTTCTTCCACCTACTTAATAGGCAATATTTTTTACTTTGTCTATGCCTCCTTCATTTTAAGAAGGATTGTTATTTTTTTCTGGGACATTATCATCAACCTACCACAGAACTCTGGTTACTGATCTTCTTTAGGTAGGCTTATTTAAATGGAGTATCCATGGCAATAAAGGCAACAATAAAACATGAATAAATTAGCAAGAAATAAAAAGTGGAGAAATAGCAGCATACCTTCATCTACAGCTTCACGAGCTTTGCAGAGGAGCCTGGATTTTTGGCTTCTGCGAGTGAGCGAATGAGCTAAAGATGAAGAAGAAGTGAATGATAAATTGGGCTTATTGAACCCTCTAAATGTCGGCAAATGAACCTTCTCAACAGAAGAAAAATGATGGTAGCTTTGCAGCACACTAGCTCTAGTAGTGCAAGCTGAGCTCAACTGAAAACAGTTTTCCAGAGCCATCTCAAGCTCTTGGCTAAGAGTCTTGGAAGGATGAAAATGGTAAAAGAGATGGCCTTTGCAGCCTCGCAGGAGTGAGATTTTTTGGGGGCCGGTTTTGAAACTTTCTGATGATTATAATTTAGAAGTGGATATTCTTTTGAAAAAAATAAAAATAAAAATTGTGAGGTGCTGGACAGATTACAAATTCATGTGGATAACATTTGATATTTGGGGAGTCTTTATTTACCCTGAGAGAGGAAAATCTTGAGGTAGTGGAGAGCCCATGGAAGAGTTTCCTTGTGGCAGAGATCTCGCATCGGTTGACCACAAACCTCTCATCCACTAAGGCAAACGTAGTCCCTATACATTTGTATGGCCCTTGCTATGTACGGGGAAATTAAACCTTCAACTGTGGGCTTTTCTATGGGCTTTGAGAATGTCCAATTTAAGCATTTTATGATAAATACAAATTAGACGTATTGAGAAAGGTATCAAATTAATTAGTACATTTCAACACGAAATGGGTGAATTAATAACTTTATTTTTGTTTTTGAAAAAATTGAGTGAATTAATAACTTGTTAAATGAATATGCTCTTAATATGTGTCAAAGAACAAAGATCTTAAGTACATGGAAATACTCTTATAAGTTGTGCTTCTCAATTTTAAGGAATCAAGGATAAAATGAAACCATTGATGATCTTGCACCATCAATGATTTCACCGATAATGAAACTTCATCATTTTGGTATATAAGATGTTTGGTTTACAGTATTACTTGTAAAACATCTAATAAAATGGCCAACCTTTTTATTTAAACTGAACAAGCTTAGGTACCGTCTTGGCAGGTAGCTTCATCATCAAATGCTGAAACACTTTGAACCACTCTATTTGGCCTTGCAGAGTTGTAAATTTGCGTAGAGGATCTTGTTCACACGGCAAGCTTTGGCTCAGCATCACAATGAGAAATGGGACAATGAATTGCCAGATGGTTCATTAAAGCACTTGGATCTAGATGCCGTAACACAAGGGATGCCATTTTGTCGATGAAACAAAGTGCTGAGGAACTTCAGCCCTTCGACGAAGCAAGGGAGGGGAGCTTAAGCATCGAGAGCAATATCAAAGCTTATATTTCCTCCAGGAAGACCATGAAAAAGGGAATTGCAAATTCTCTTGCATCGTTGAAGCAAATGGATAACATATTCAGGAACTTTCCCCAGTTAGAACAAAACCATCATCACTCTGTAGTGGCTGGAGTGCTTAGAGAAGCAAGCTTGACCACTACTTCCATCTTTCACGCCCTCCTGTTATTCCTGTCTCCAACATTGTTTAAGCCAAAGCCTTCAAAATGGTCATTGGTTTCAAAATTGGTGTGGAAATGTCCGACAGCATGTGAAGAGCATCAGAACATGAACGAGTTAGAGAGTGGATGTCGCAGTGAGCAACTTACTACTGCAGAGTTCAACAGTGGACTTTAAGGAAGAGAAAATTCAATCTGCAAAGGTAAAATTGGAATCTTTGGACGCTATCTTTGAAGGTTTTGAAGATGGATTGTGGTGTTTGTTTAGGAGCTTGATCCATACCAGAGTTTTTCTCCTAAATATCCTTTCTCATTAGAGTTTTTATCAAGTAAAAATTATATCCTCCAATCCAAAGGCAGAGTTAACCAATTTTTGTTGAACAGATTAAAAACGAAGGAAAATAAAAGTTAAAAATTTTTAAAATTAATACATTACATTTAAACAACAATTAAAAGATTCATAATTGAAAATAATTTTATATAACATATAAATAAAAAAGAATAGGAAAGAAAACCTTAAAAAAAAAAGAATTGTGCTCGACAGTGTTTTTTAAATTCATAAAATATAATGCACAAAATATAAATAGTTAAAAATGATATATAAAATATCAAATAATAATTAAATAATATCAATAGAAAGAAGAAGATAAAAGAAAACCTTACCTTATCCAAGTTCACAAGATTATAAATATCTTTTTTAAAGAATGAAATGTGTTTCAGTAATTAATTATACAAGAGAGAGTAAAGTAAAATAAAAAAACAAAAAGAGAAGAGAAGAGAAAGAGAAGGAGAAACATCTGTGAATAAATTTAAAATAAATTAACGTTGATTAGAGTTGTAGGGACATTTTATTATTTATTATTTATATGAGTTATTAAAGAAAAAATTATTTTGAAGAGCATTAAAAACATATAATAAATGAAATATTTCAAAATTTTGGAGGGGAGCTACAGCCTCCATAAGTATACTACTCTCCAATATTATTAAAAATATATATAATAATTAAAAATTTACAGAACTTTTGGGCTGCCAGCCCCCGCCCCTGCTCCAATCTATTGAGATTTGAGAGGTGTTCATTTACTTGAGGTTTTAGGCGTTTTAGGTGCACAAATAATGTAAATTAAACAAAATGTATAGTGAAACACTGGAATGTAATGTAAAATGTCACATTTGCAACAGCATGAAAGTACTTCATGGAATCATACGTGACAGTTAATTTAAGAACATCTTTACTCGCTCTTCCAAGTTCCAACAAGATTGTCAGCATATCTTATGGTGCTTTTAGCATCAGAAAAGGAGGAAAATTAAAGAATTGAAGAGTTTATATATATATATATTTATATTTATTTATTTATCTTCTTGTAAATATAAACTTGAGTTATAATTGCTTTAAACTATCATTTGCATCCTAAATTTGTTATAAAATTAGTACATAATTCCATAAGCTATGAATTAACTTGCTTGACCATTAACTAGTTTTTCTACAATAGAGTTTTAGGAATGCAAAAGGCGAAATATGATTATACATGTCACTTGTCAGATATAAATATAGCATGAAAAACTAGATAGACTTAATAATAACCCATTTATGGAAAATAAACACAAAATAAAAATATTTTAGTTGAAAAAATTAAATGATCCAAACTCCATTTGAAACTAAACTTAACTTGAAGTTGATTAACATGAAATCAATATATTAAATTAGATTACTCGAAAAAAGAATAGAAACTGTAAACTCCTCTTTTCATATTTTTCATAATGAAGATAAAAGAATCTATTTCCACGATATGGAGGACTATTCATTTAAAAAAGAATAGAAAGATAAGGAAAAGACTAAGTCAATCATTTCAAATTCCTTAATCATCTCTTGCTTAAATTTGTTCAAGAGAAAACCATTTGGACCAGTTAAGAGCATGTTAGAGTATATCATCAGCATAAATCGAAGTAATAATCTGAGATTCAATCCTTGAGTCCCTGATATACAATGTGTGCTCGTTTTCACTTCACATGAATCGTTTATTGTTCAAATTATCCATCAATCCTTCCATACCATGCACAGGGAGCTTGCTTGAACCAGTACAAAGCTTTCTTGAGCTTGCATACCTTGTCTTCCATACTTGGCACAAATGAAAACCTCTAGTTCTTCCACAAAAATTTCTTCCCCTAGCAAACCATTTAAAAAGGCTAATTTCACATCCAAGTGCCATAATTGCCACCCTTCCTTAGTTGCAATTGCAGCTAATAGTTTGATTGTATCATGCCTCGCAATTAGGGTAAAAGTTTCAATGCAGTCAATGACATATACTTGTGCAAAACCCTTGACTACCAAGAAAGCCTTTTAATTTGTTGATAGAACCAATATGGATTCAATTTAGTTATATAAACTCATTTTGCCCCAATCACTTTTTACTCGGTTGGTCTCGACACTAGCTCCCTAAGTATTGTTTTTCTGATCATATCTATCTCTACCTCCATAGCTTGTTTCCACCCATTTGAGTTGAATGCTTCATCAAAGGTATTGGGTTCCAACACTACTAGATTGCACTTGTTATAGGTTTCATTCAAATTCTTAGTCCACATACAAGGGCATAATCAACATTATCACCTTCTTTAAGTTCAATTTTAGCCGAGTCATTGTCATGGCAAGTTTGTAGGCTTTCTAAATTTTCAGCTTCCTTTGTTGACTAGTTCCATCTTTTGTTTTCTTCAAACTCAACATCCCAACTCACAAAGACTTTGTCAGTATTCACATCAAATAACCTTAGCCTTTGCTGACATTGCTGTAACCAATATGAATATCAATATAAGATTTTTTTTATCCAACTTTGTTCTCTTATTTTCTAGTATTAATGTAAATGCTATGCACCCAAATACTTTCAAATGGGAGACAGATGGTTTAACTCCAAACCAAGCTACATATGGTGTTGTGTTAATCCATGAGTCGATGATATAAATCCATGACTCGACAAAAATTTTCATCAGTGATTCCATCAGTAAGCCATATTAAAACCACTTGAGCAATTCGTTTTTCCCCCATTTCTCTTTTTTCTCTTCTCCTCTTCTCTCTGCCTCTCCTGTCACCCCACCCCATACTTGACCTTCACCACCAAAATGGCTAATTGAAGCAAATCGGACCACACTAAAGCACTGTCAACGCCAAACCCAAACCCTATTCTAGTTGGTTGTTCCTTCGCCTGCCATTTGAATTACTCGATCCCTCTGCCCGTTTGATTCTCTATGCTTCAACCAACATTGTTGTCGATTTTGTACAAGAATACATATCGAACAAGTAATATAGATAGTAAGTCTAAAATCGTATCCCATATAAATTTGTTCCTAAATCTTTACTAAATACTAAAATTATAACAAATTAATCTTATTCAAGTACTTAAATTTTTTAGAAAATTAATTAAACTAAATTTAAGGAAACACTAAACTAATTAATAAATATTAAAAATTTACTAGAGAAAGTCAATAGATTAAAATTTAAGATTATGAGTTCATTCAGCATTTCATCTGACATCAACTTCTATTACTGATTACATTTATGGGTGATTTTAATAACCTAGAATCCAAAGTTATGTACAAGCTTTCATCAAGATGCTGGCACAAATACCTAACTTAATTGGGTCACTATATGTTTATAAGAATCAATTAAATAAGGTTCATTAAGCTAGTATTCTAGGTTGACTATATACGGCAATTGGTGTATGTATACCTGAATAACGAATTAGATCACCAAAGTAACATGAACATATACTATTCAAACCTTAATCCCATCTAAAATCTCTTTGTCGATTTTTAATTAGATTCAAAAATCAATTAATTGTTAGCAAAACAATCAAAAGTATTAAGAGCAAATTTGAATAAGCAAAACTATATCCATTTATAGTAAATAAAATAGAAACAAATATTCAAATTACATATTGAATCCACCACAATCCTAGAAACGTAATTTAGCTTATAATATCTAATAAAAACTTTATCCAAAGAAAACTAGCCATTAATCCAAATCAAAGAAAATAAGAAAAAGACAAAAGTCAAGAAAGAAAACCAACAGTAAAAGCTTTGTAATCTTGACTTTCCCTTAATTTCTCTTACTTTCTTGTTTTGTTTTTGACTCCTTTTCTCTAGAGAAATCGCTTGCTGCCTTTTTCAAGAAACCTTTAAAAAAGGCCCTTTAAATAGCCTCCAAAAGCCGTAACTTCCAAACTCCCATAAGATGTTTATTTTTGAAAAATTTCTCAAGAACCATAGCCCTCAAAGGTTCTATGTTGAAATTTGGCCTAAAAGTCTTTTCAGCACTGCGATACTAGCATCTTGATAATTTGACTCTATGATCCCATTCAAATTGGGTAAATTGGTAAACATGAAAGTTGTATCCTTATCTCTTATATTTTCAATGGCTTATGAATCAAGTTAATTGGACTTTTGGGGTGAAAGATATGCTCAAAATACCACATCATGTTCAGTCCATGCAGTCTACTACAATGCTCCAAATTTTACAATGCTTTAAACCACGATTCAATCAGAACTAGGAAAAGTGATAAACATCAAAGTTGTATCCCTTTCTCTGAGATTTCTAGTGGTCCAATAATTACCTCATTTGGAATTTTGTAGAAAGAGTTATAGGCAAGATATCACAACATGTTTAGAAAATTCTACAATTAATCGTCCTTGTTCAATTCACCTCCATGAAGTTTTATGCACTTGCACACCTTCAAAGCAAGAACTAAATCAGTGATGGCACAAATTAAGACTTTTAACAAAAAATGAGCTAAATTACTAAAATTAAAATATTTCAATATGTATTAAACTTAATAACGAGAAGCATAAAAACTACCTAAAATTAATTAAAAACACAAAGACATAGTTATTTTTAATAATCAAATGTAGCAAAATAATTCTATATCATTGAGTTATCAAACGTCCTCCTCATTGTTGCTCAAGTCAGTAAGATCTGTTAGGCATTTTTACCCATTGTTGCTACCCTATTGTGGGTTTTAGTTTCCCTATTGTTGCTACCCAAATATTTTTGGTTTTGGTTGGTGCCCGCATTGTGTTTTAGTTCTTGCTGTGAAATTGTTGCTGCCCCATTGTTGCTGCCTTAATATTGTAGATTTCTAGGTTAATATGTGAAATTGTGGTTGTTGTTTGTGTGAAATTGTTTTTATTGTT